CATGGCGAAGAGGCAGGTGGAGATTTGGCTGTGCTGAGAACCTGTTCTCACTGAGACAAGCGTCCTGCCTCAGTGTCTAACCCCAGTGCCCAGGCGCTAACGGGCTTGCAGGCGGGGCGCGGGTGGAGCCCAGCTGGCCGTGGAGCCCCATGTTTTCCACGGTACCCAGCAGAGTGGAGCAATGCCCAGGCTCCTCCAGCTGTGGGCCTGCGTGAGAACGGGCCACACACCCTCCCGTGGGAACACTGAGGGAACACAGAAAAGCAGAGGCAGCGGGGCTGGGGATTTAGCTCAGGGGCACAGCGCCTGCCTGGCAAGTGCAAGGTTGTGAGTTCGATTCCCAGTACCGGAAAACAAACAAAACAAAACAAAACAAAAAGCAGAGGAAGGCTGAGCCTGCTGGCCCACGCCTGTCATCCAAGCACCCAGGAGGCTGAGACAGGATCACTGTGAGTTCAAGACCAGCTTGGGCTACATAGTGAGTTTGAGGCCAACCTGAATTACATAGTGAAACCTTGTCTCAAAAAAAATTATTCAGAGGTAAAAACCCCCTGGCACAAAGGACCTTTCATCTCACCAGCTCGGAATCACCCCATTCACATTTTGGTCAGGAGATTCCCTGTGGTTCCAGAGTGTGCTCATAAACAGCATGTACACACAGCATCACATCACTTGGTTTACAACAAAACACACTGTGAACATTGTCTCTTCCACAGCAGTTACAATAATTGCATAGCATGGAAAGAGCATTAATTTGTAAAGTAAACTTGTTGGGGAAATTTACATATAATTTTTTCCCAAATAGACCTCATTCTCTTTATAACTCGAGCTGGGCATGGTGGCGCATACCTGTGATTCCAGCACTCAGGAGGCTGAGGCAGGAAGATCACCACAAGTTTGAAGCCAGCCTAGGCTAGCCAGCCTGGCATACATACTGAAACCTTGTCGCAGAAACAACAAATGAAAACAAATTTGTCTGAATTGACTTTAATCTATCTCAGTGTTTCTGATCAGTTCCGCATTAAGACTAGCCTTTAATGACCTGTAGATTTACCTGTTTAAAAGAAAGTTTTAGGACGCCTTAAAAAAGTTATGTATATCAAGAAACACAGGGGCTGGGGGTTTAGCTCAGCGGCAAAAGCGCCTGCCTGGCAAGCACAAGGTCGTGAGTTCGGTTCCTGGTACCGGAGAAAAACCAAAAAAAAAAAAAAGAAAACACCATCTATTGAAGAAACACAGACTTGGGAGCCGGGTAGGTAGGGCTGACTTTTTTTTTTTAATGAAGCAGCTTTTGTGGGAGAGCACAGCAGGGGGAGCAGCCGCTGGTGTGTGGGGCAGCGTGGGGCTTGGTGTGGAAACTGTGTGCTATTTTAAAGCAGCGGACAGAGGATCATCTTTTAGTTCGGAGGCTGGAGCGGAGGCCTTAGGAGTCGCACGGCACCTACCCCTGGGTCTCCAGGAGGAGGCAGGCGGCAGCCAGCAGGAAAGCCATGCCCGCAGATGGCGCAGATCCTGGAGTCCTGGAAGCTGCCGGGCCTTCGCCTCTCACGTGACCCTCTGCGGGGATAGATGGGGTCATTAGTGGGCAGCGGTCCGCAGTGTGTCCCGTGGGGACTTACTCCTCCCTGGACACTCATTCCTGGCCCTGTCCCCGCAAGGAACACCTGGGGTGGGACGAACAAAGATGCCACACGTGGGGTGAGGCTCTGCACACAGGGCCAGCACATCGCAGGCCCCGAATTCCCCAGGGAAACACGGTCCCCGCTCATCCAATCACTGGGCCTGGACAGCACCCTCCTGGGCTCCTCTGGTCCTGCCCCTCTTTCCCAGAGGGGACGGCCTACCCCAGGGCCGTTTAGGGTGCAGGGGGAGGTTGCCGAGGACCCCTGAGTGAGGGACATCGATGACCACCAGCACCCGGGGGCCAAGACACCGAGGCTCCCGCCCATTCTCCCCGTAGGGATCCACAGGCGGTCGGTGCCCAGCAGCCTCAGGGACCTCTGCGGGCGGCAGGTCGGCCGTGTGCAGGGCACACATCCCAGGGGTGCCCCGGCCACCGTGCCGTTCGAGTCTCCTCGGCAGCCAGCTCCATCCACCCTGTTAAGCAGGCACCCCCGGGCCACTGAGGGGTCTGCCGGGACAAAGGAGCGGGGGATACCAGCTCACCGCAGCCAGGGAGGAAGGTCTGGGGGAAGCAGTGGATCTGGCCGAACCAGCACTTGCACATGAAGCACTTCCGGGGCAGCCAGGAGCCGTGGGGCACAGAGCCACATTTCCTGAGAACGAACGGGTGAGAACGCCTCGTTTTTTTGAGACAGGATCTCACGATGCAGTATGGGCTGGCCTGGAGCTCACAGCGGTCCTCCTGCCTCAGCCTCCAGAGTCTTTGGAATTACCTCCTCCCTCAGTGGCTTACCGTGTGTGTGTGTTGTGTTCACAGTTGCGTCCATAGAAGGAGGGGGGGCAGGCACAGAAGGACCCCAAGATGCAGGTGCCCCCGTTCAGACAGCAGGTTTTGTTTAGCTTCTTGCCTGAAATGGAAGAGGAAGGAGAGTGTGGGAAGCCCAGGATGTTCGCTTGCGTTAAGGGGTCGTGCAGAGCCCGGGGTTCATCTCCTGTCGCGTGGGCGGATGTCTGAACCCTCCCAGAATAGCACTCTGGGTTCCAGGCTGCCAATGCGACCACCCACCCAGCGGCCCCTCAGATGAAACCCTTACAGAGGGTTACAAAGGAGCCACAGACGGGGGACAGAGGTGGCCCAAGGCAGGTGGCTCTTACTGTCCTGGATTCCCACGGCCGGCACGAACTGGGAGGACCGGGGATGGAGGGGCCGTGCCTCCGGGGCCGGGATCCTGTCACTTCCGAACGCCAGGTCTCCCGGGGGCGGGCGAGCCGGCGTCTGGCCGCTGGAGCCTGAAAGACAAAGTCAACTCCTGGAGCCTGTGTTTGAGGCCACAGAAAAGTTGTTAGTGATCCAAAGAACAAAGATGCCACGCCTGCGGTGCAGCCCCGTGGCAGGGTGTCTGTCCCCATCCCACAGGCACAAGGCCCTGAATTTGATCCCCGCAGTTTGAGAAGAAAACCACAATCAGAAGGACACAAACTCCCTCACCAGCTTCTACTCCCGGGTCCAATGCGTTGGAAATGGCCACGATCAAAATCACACTAGGAAGAGGAAATCGGGACATGTGTTAGCAAAACAGAGCAAATGAACCGTGGGTCCTCTCAGCCCACGGGCAAGGCCACAGGCGATGGGGAAACTTCAGAGCCCGCTTTCCCTTCTCCCTTCCCTTGCTTAGTGGCTAACTCAGGCGACAAATTGTTCAAAACAAGTCACCTAGATCTAGACGGGCACAGTGGCTCACGCCTGTCACCCTAGCACTAGGGAGGCTGAGGCAGGGGGATCATTGCGAGTTCGAGACCAGCCTGGGCTACAAAGTGAGCTCAAGGCCAGCCTGAATTGCATAGCAAGACCTTGTCTCAAAAAACAAAACAAGGGCCGGGGATACAGCTCAGTGGCATAGGCATCTGCCTGGCAAGCGCAAGGTACTGAGTTCCATTCCTGGTACAAAAAAAAAAGCGAAAGAAGACAAGTCACCTCTATCTAATTTTTTCATGTATATGTAACCAGGAATCACAAGCATACAATTTTAAGTAGGTGCACAATCCTCTTCTATTTCATAAAACCTATATTTTTCTCATAGTTTTCATAAAAGAATTTTAAAATGAGCCAAGTGTGGTGGTGCACCCCTGTGATCCCAGCACTTAGGAGGCTGAGGCAGAAGGATTCGGGTGCATAGCAAGTTCAAGACCAGTCTGAACTACAAAGGAAGACCTTATCTTAAACCCCTCCAAAATTAAAAATAGCTACTTGACATTTTGTGTTTTGATGAGTCACAATTTACAAAGGACTTCATTTAAATCTGTCATTTAAAAGGTTTTCGGGGGGCTGGGGATTTAGCTCAGTGGCAAAAGCGCCTGCCTGGCAAGCGCAAGGTCGTGAGTTCGGTTCCCGGTACCGGAGAAAAACCAAAAAAAAAGGTCAGACAGAAACAGGTAATTTCCTAGCAGTCCAAAGTTACCGATCAGCTGGGTATGGTGGCCAAACCTGTAATCCCAGCACTCGGGAGGCTGAGGCAAGGATGATCGTTGCAAGTTCAAGACCAGCCTGGCCTACAAAGTGAGCTCAAGGCCAGCCTGAGCTGCATAGTGAGACCCTGTCTCAAGAAGACAGAAGAAAAAAAATTACAGATCAAGAGGAACTCATACCTGGAAGAGAAGTGCTTCATCCTCCGGCCTTCCAGAGCTTGTAAAAAACGTAGGGGAAAAACACAGTTTAGCGGTGGCTTCAGTTCAGGGGGTCATGGCCAGGACACCCAGAAGAAAACCTGAATCTCCTGACGGTGGCACCGGAGAAAGCAGTGCAGATACCTGTCCCAGGTCTTACAGACGCGGGAGCTGAGATGTCCGGGAGGAAATGGGGGAGCCTTGCCCCGGGAGGATGTTTTGACCTTGGGCAGGGACTTCCTGGGGACCCTCCTACCTGCATCAGAACCCTGGGGGTGGTGGGAGGACCCTCAGGTGAGCGGGAGGCGGGACTCGAACCCATGACAAAGCCCAGTGCTGCGGGGCGGGGAGGGGAGAGGCTGCTGAGAAAGGTGAGGCGGGGTCTCACTCACCGGCTCCTTAGCCCAGCTGTGGGGGGTGGGGGTGTGGGGGTGTGAGGGGGGCGGGGGGTGCTGCGTCCCTCTCTGAGTACAAACGCCCTTTCATTTCTGTGGGGAGAAAGGCCAGCAGCCTGGGTCGCTGCTCCTGGATCGGAGGAGGGGTGGGAGCCACTGCTTAGGCCTCTGATGCTTTATTCTCAAGCATTACTTATTGACATTTGCTTTTACCTTTGTTTTCCTGACAGAGGCCTTGAACCTGTGCCCGCCTGGGGGATGAAGCCAGGTCAGGAGGGTGCTGAGGGCAGAAGGCGCCCGAGCAGCAATCACGGGGGGCCGAATGGCAGGGATCCCCCTGGAAAAAGCCCTAGGAACCTGGCCATCGTCTGGGAAGGCCACCTCAGCCTTGTCAGTGGGTTCTCCCAGGGTTTCCTTTAGACAGGGTCTGGCTAGTTGCTAAATTGCCCAGGTTGGGCTCAAACTTGTAATCCTCCTGCCTCAGCCTCCCAGAGTGCTGGGATCACAGGTGTGCACCACCACGCCCAGCTTTCCCTGGATTTTCATCTCAGTCCCTGGCACCCACGTGTGCCCTCTTCCAGCTCCTTGCTGCCCAGCTCTCCGACACGGGGGTTTAAGTAGTAAGAGCGTTTCCAGGCTGGTCCCACGACGCCCAAAAGACAAGGCGTGTGCGTGGGGCAGTCTTGTCCCCTGACCTCTCCGACCTCCAGCTTTATTCCTTACAAACATGCCCAGAGTCACAGCGGTTCCTGAGCTTTATTTAATTCTAATTTCTAAAGGGAGGCCCCGCATCAGCCCACGTTGCCGAGCACGAGCGTGGGAAACTTTTATCCGGCCTCAAGCTCTCCGGCCTCTGGTCCTGGTTTTATACCGTGGCAGGGCGAACCCGCAGCGTCTGTGGCCCGTTGTGCCTGAGCTTCCCGTGCCCACCAGGCCTTGGGAGGATTAAACTCGAAATCACCTCCCTGGGGGTGCAGGCTCCTCTCTGGCCATGGTGGGGTACGGCTAGGCCAGGCCAGGCCAGGCCGGTGTGGGCAGGCGTCCCGGCACGCAGAGGGGGATCCATGGTGCCCGGGAGCGCTTGCAGTTGGGCGGGGACCCCAGCGCAGCTCCTCGCGGAGGGCTGGAAAGCAGCTATGGCGCCTGCAGACTGGGGTGGGATCTGAGAGGGACTCCCCGCCAGGGAGGACGGTCATTAATGACTGTCACTGAGATCCCCGTCGGTGGGGGCAGGGGCTTGAATCACAGCCCTGAGCGAGCGCTACCAGACGCCGTCCCTGGTCACTGCTGAGCCGCAGAGGCTGTTCAGCCTGAGAGAGGAGCGCTGTGTGCCAGAGGCCCGGCCTGGGCGGGAGGTGCAGGGCGGCGGCGATTCTGTCACGGCTACGCCTCGCCTCCCGAAGGCCCCTGAGCTGGAAGAGGAAAGACCGGCGTTCTTGGTCCAGAACTGCCGTGGGACAAGAGAGCTGAGTGGTGGTTACTTTGACTTCAAACCATCCAGCTCAACCCAGAGAATGCAGAACTTTTCCAGCTGTGTGACATCCAGGGACAAGATGAGCGTAGGGACAGATTCCCGCTTTCCAAAGCCAACCTGACCTTTTTCAATAGCTGCACACATACAGAATGAAACCTCTCCAAAGAAAACCCTTTCTTGAGCAGGAGAGCAAAGCACACTTTCATCAGGATGACACACTTCCCCTGTCATTGTCCTCAGATCTTCCCGGCTGGCTGTGCCCTCCCACACCGGGCGGTGCGACCCGGCTCAGCCACCAACATAGAGTCCGGCAGCTTCCGGTTTGAAGGACACCTTGGCCGCCGTCTGGTCAGGTCATTAACATGCTAATGGCTTTCTGTTTTTCCCTGAGAACTTAACAAATAACAACTGGAAGTTCATTGGCATTCACTGCTGCTTTCTCTGCGGGGTTTAAAGGCTGGATTCCTGCATACAGAGGCCTCTGGTCTGGCCAGCTGGGGAGACAAACTCCAGCTGGGTGCCGGGCGGGGCTTGAGAAGAGGTGGGGTGTGCTGTGTGCAGGCCTGGCAGCGCGCACTCAGGAACGTGGTCCCGAGGCCCTGCAGACAGGCGTGGATGTGGTGGCGCAAGCCTGTAATCCCAGCACTCGGGAGGCTGAGACAGGAGGATCCTTGCAAGTTCGAGACCAGCCTGGGTACAAAGTGAGCTCAAGGCCAGTCTGAACTGCATAGCAAGACCCTGCTTCAAAAAGACAACAATAACAAAAAAACCCCCCAAAAACAGCACGTGAATAAAGGAAGGACTGGGCGGGTTTGGGAGAGGACTCTACCTATTCTCTGTGGGTGACTTCATATTTCTTCCTATGCAGACAAATGATAAACTATTTTATCAAGACTGGACTTGGGCATCTTCCACATTTGGCAGTGAATTTAAGTCCCCCATACATAGATACCCTGGTGAACGCTTGGGAGTGGAGCCTTCTGGGAAATGCCTAGCCCTACAGTTGCGTGATTAAAGGGTGGCCAGTTCCCAAATAATTTTCCAGGGAGGCAGGACCCGTCTCCCCTCCTCCTGCCTTTAAACCTCTGTTGAGATGGTTGCAGCGTGGACCCTAGTTTCTGTCAATTCGGTATACAAAAAATAGCATTTTGTTGTTGTTTGGGTTTGTGCTGTTTCTTATGTTCACTGTCTGTTTATTTACTTTTATTTTTTAAGACAGGTCTTTCTTTGTAGCACGGGCTGGCCTGGAACCCTCCACCCTCCTGCCTCAGCCTCCTGAGTGCTGGAATTACAGGCATTCGCAACCACTTAGGTTTCAAAGGAAAGAAAGACAAATAAATGCTGAGTACTTACTGCCGTGGCTGATATGAATATGCAGACCTCGGAGTGGCTTATTTACCATATCAAAGCAAGCCGAGGAGGGGAGGGTTAGTCTGACTCAAACCTAGTCATGAATATGATTTAGAATCACAAGGGGCAATCAGAATATTCAGTGAGTGTTGACAGTTTTAAAAATTTACTACAGTAAAAGACACATCACCATGAACCCCCCTCAGAATCCTTCCCCTTACTTCAAACACACGTAGCTCATCATTCTATTATTTTTTAATTTTTTTGTTTGCTTGCTTGTTTTTGAGACAGGGTTTCGCAGCGTAGTTCAGGCTGGCCTGGACTTCATGCCAATCCTCCCGCCTCAGCTTCCTCAGTGCTGAGTTTACGAGCACGCGCCACCACACCTGACCTCTCGCCGCTGTCTGGAGCAGTTTTGGAATCCTCTTTCCCGAGTATCTTTACAAGCTGTGATCAAAAATGTGGTGACTGCTGCCACCGGGTGCCGTCCTAGAGAAAGGCAGTTCGTGAGAACTTGATGCTAGTCCTCATCCACTTTATCTGTCACAACTGGCGCCATGTGACTCCTGGCTCTCCCCCAGAGTCAAACTGACCAAGAAAAGAAACCTTTTGAACCGATTCAGGACGTCGAGGCAGCCAGGAGAGCACAACTGAAGACCCTGAGGAAAGAGGACTCCAGAGCTGCTGCAGGAAGTGACGGGGATGATGGGGTGGGTACACGCATAGCGAGGGAAATTCACGGCGGTGTGACTTCCACTGCAATACACTGTTTAAAAAATTTGAAAGTTCATTGTTTCCTAATTGCACTTTTTTTTTTTTTTTTCTTTTTGAGACAGGGTCTCGCTATGCAGCTCAGGCTGGCCTTGAGCTCACTTTGTAGCCCAGGCTTGTCTCAAACTTGCAAGGATCCTCCTGCCTCAGCCTCCCGAGTGCTGGGATTACATGTATGTGCCACTACACCCATCTGCACCTCATATTTTTGCACAAAAATCTTTTCTCGTTCCCATTCAACTCAACAGTTACTACTGGTCAGCTCACCCATGCTGAGTACAGTGAGGAGCCCAAGTTCTCCAGGTTACCCTCCTGCAGCCTTTCCCGCCTCCTGAATAAGACACCCCAGGAGTCTAAACCCCACGTGGCCCAAACCCACCCATGGGGACAGACGGACAAGGTGGTCACCTCCTGACCCCCAGTGGCAGGTCCAGGCCGGTTGGGCCCGGGACAGGAGGCAGACAGGCTCCTGGGAGGTGGGAGGAAGGAGGTGGGGCCTCTGGGTTTTCACAGGAGCTCATTGAAATCTCTTCTTAAGTGGGTTTTGTGTTGAGGACACAGAGGCATTCCTCAGGGCTCCGCATGGTTTTGCAGTGGATACAATGCGAGCAGGCGGTGGAGGCCCAGGTTGCTCTCAGAAAGGGGCTAACACACTGCAGCTGAGGCAAGAGGGCCATTTCTTTACTTTGACTCTTAACCAGGTTTATTTTTCTCTAAAAAGACAGTTTAGTGTTGCCTAGTTTCATGCTGGTCTTACAGACTGTAGGTATCAGCACCGGAAACACAAAAACATCACGAGACTTCCAAACATAAAAAATACTAAAACACCCCACACATGATATCTGGTGGCAAAACAACCCTCAGGGGCAACAGGGTCTAAACACCCCTGCTGGCCAGGAGCTCATGTCTTTGTTGCTTAGAAGAGTGGAGGAACCAGGACTCGAGGAGCTGGTCAGCAATTCAGCCACATTCGGAATCCTGCGGGCGCCTGCTCTAATTCTAGAGCACTTTC